GTTTGCCCATTTCAGTGGTGATTTTTGAAAATACTTGTAATCTAATGTAATCTTTGTACAATATAAGAATATTTAGAATGACTTTTCACATTGTGGGTGGCATTGTGGTGCAGTGCTTAGCACTGCTGCCTCCCACCTCAGGGACCGCAGTCTGGGGTGTGAGCCCATGGCTCCACGTCTATGGGGTTGGTGCCCCATCCTGGGTTGTTCTCTGCCTCACACCTCAGGGAGGGCAGTCTGGGGTGTGAGCCCATGGCTCCACGTCTATGAGGTTGGTGCCCCATCCTGGGTTGTTCTCTGCCTCACACCCTGGCTGAGCTCTAGACCCCCTCTGAGTAGAACAACCACTTGCAGAAAATGGCTGGATTTTCACGCCACTTCTAGTTGTCCTTTTTATGTGTTTAACGAGTCAGTAACTATGACCCAGGGCAGTCACCAAAACATTTTTTTGAACTTTCTTAAACAGATAAATTCACTGTGAGGAACTGAAACCCATGATTTCAGACCTTTACCTTCATGTGGAATGTTTACATTTTTTTTTACACTATTGCACATTCATTTTTTTTGTCTGCCTGCAAGACAGTCCTCAGATTCTTTTTGGTAAGCTAATTCATTTAATTATTATTATTTTTTTTACTTTTATTCTCCATTTTTATTTCTTTATCCCATTCCGAAGTGTCGCTCAGCTTATATAAATTTAGGTTGCATAGCACATTTGGTTCATGTGTTTGACTGGTAACTCACTATTTGTTAGCTCGAACCCTTCCACAGGATCTTTCCCCCGTTAATGGGTGGTTCAGAAATGTGTTGTGGTTTCATTAAAAGCTATGGCAGCAGGTTGCATAGTGATTAAGGACACAAACTCACAGCAGGGGTCCAGCTGTAGTACCCTTGAGCCGTGAATTTCAAGTCCTTAAAATGAGTGCATCCAGTAAAATACTCAGCTGTATAAATGAGTAAAGTCACCTTGCTCAAAAATATCCAGTAGTAAATGGTCTTATCTCGTACTCTACATATTTTATGTCTAATGATTGAAGATCCCTTGGCATCTGAATCTAAAATGTTTTGTGTTAATAATACGCTGAAAATATAATTATTTGTGTACTGGTGTCCATTAAGATGATGAGCAATTCTTCTGAAATTGTCTGTAGTAGCAGATCTTGCGCTTTTACAGGGTATGTAAATGTTGCCTTCATGGCTCAATGTATACTTTTAAAAGTTTAAAAGACTGGGTGATGAATGGACAGTCTTGGCTACGACAGGAATTCTCTGCTGTGCCACAATCACAATTAAGTAGATCAGCTTACAAGTCTGCCTATTTAAGTCCATTTATTTTAGGCATGATAATCACCCTCTTAGCTGCTTTCGATTGTATGTATTGTGGAACTTTATTCAATTAATCCATTGTTCATTTTTGTCATTGTCAAACAAAAGCAAACTTGAATTTAAGTAATCCCAATGGATCATGTGAAATTATCCACCACACAGATTACTACATGAAGTCTTCTTTTACATGGAGTTTTTGAGTGAGGCATTTGTTAATTGCAAAGTATTGGTAACTGGGATTAGCATACTAAACAATTTATGTGAACTTTTTATTTATATGAATCCATATGGAACCCAGTCCCGATCAATGCTCATGCAGTTATCTTTTAAATATTTATAAACATTTACAAACAATGTCACGTTGACCAACTGGTAATTTTGCAAAATGTAGGTCAATCATATTTTCATCAGATGCTCACTTTAGCTAAAACTGTCCACCCTTTCATCGTCCACTATATTGTACTTCTTACCCTAACATGTCCTCGTTGCTCGGGAAGGCGATCATGTCTTATACAAGATCCCTAAGGCGCCCTATACTGAGAATGATCCAGTTGTTGTTGTGCTTTACTGCGATACACTAAGATAAGCAGAAGTATGCTTTTGATCTACATAAACGAAACATTTTTGTTCCTTTATTTGCTCCACTTTCTGGAGTTTGTCAAATTTTTGCTGTACATATGAAAACAGTCGACACAGACTCAGTGTGAAGGATCTATTGTACCTCCCTGGTCCTGATCCAGGCTAACTGACACCAGGAGGGACAGGGGGTTTGGACAGCAGCAGCATGGTAGCCACATCTGCACCGAATGATAACAACAACAGAATGAACAACTGACAACCATTGTGGATACTTTCCAATAGCCTAATGCCATGGACAATGGCTGCAAATGCTTTTTTTTGCAGATGGCCTGCAGGTATCTATTTCACTCACTTACTCATGCAGATTTGAGTGGTTTTTCTTTTATTTTTCTCTCACAAATTTTTCCAGGCACTGCATGACTGTGCTGTCTCCTGTGGGATTTCCATTTCAATTCCTTTAAGCAACAAAACAATTCAGCATTCCAAGCTTGCAAGGCTGGGTATCTTTGTTTAGTTATTCAATAAAAAAGGATTCATGTCAGAATATTTAGAGTACACCCTGAGGAAAGCCTTCTTGAGGAATAATATGATTAACCACTCTTTTATTTCCACAACAAGCAAATAAATTTTGCATATAAATTTCATTCATAATTTATCAGACCACTATGTGTTTTAAAATAGAATTTAAATTAAATACTTGTTTTTGGTTTAAACTGATTCATAAATGCTTTTCCACCAGTACAGACTTGAGGTCCAGTCCACTTCTGAGACTTTCATTCCAGGATGCTTTACACTGAACAGCTTGTGTCAGCCTTTGTAAATGCTTTTGTAGCTGTCCCCCAGAAATAGGCTATTGCAGTGTTTCCCAACCCGGTCCTCCAGGACACACAGACGGTCCACATTTTTGCTCCCTCCCAGCTCGCTGCCAGACAGTCTACATTTTTGCACTTATTGGGAGCTGGGAGGGAGCAAAAACATGTACTGTCTTTGGGTCCCTAATGACCGGGTTGGGAAACAATGGGGTATTGCATAAATGTACATTTAAATTAAATGAACATGAAAGAAACCTACAGAAGTGTGGTCCTTAGTGAAGGTCTGCGATTTTTTACTCTGCCTCATGTTGCAGCCTTGCAGGAGAGCTCAGGACAAAATGTTGACCACATTGCAGTCTAGACACTATATATGTTGTGACTCTTAAAATTTAGACTGCTGCCACATATTATTCAGCTATTGGGTAACATTTTACATTAACTGCACTGCATGTGCATTCATTATGCATTTAAAGAACATTTGGTGCACCTTCATAATGCATTCATGATACATTCATAGAAAACTGAGTGCAACTTCATAATGCATTCATGATACATTCATAGAAAACTGAGTGCAACTTCATAATGCATTCATGATACATTCATAGAACACTGAGTGCAACTTCATAATGCATTCATCGAACGTTCATAAGCAACATGTAACTATACCATAACATCCTAACATTCCTTTATCATCTTTAATATACATTAATAACAAACATTATGCGATTATAATGTTTGTTATTGTCATACCATGCTTGTTATTAATATATATTATAGCTGTTCAGGTATGTTAGGATGTTAAGGCATAGTTACATGCCGCTTATGTTTGTTCTACAAATGTATTATAATGGCATTATGAAGGTGCATTCAATGTAAAGCCTTACCAACTATTGGTCTTACTAATTCCACGACATTCTCATTTTCAGAATGGACCACAGTTTAATAAAAAGGTGGCAATCATGAGTGTTTAATAAACAAACAGTTACCCTATAAAATATTATAAATCTCAGATAACTTCTTTCATTCATTCAGTGACTAATGCTCAGGTTGTGTCACACTCTGGATTCAACCATCATTGCTTGAACTGGTCAGCTTTATTAAAATTTCCACCTTGATAGTGAGAACCATAATAATTAAACAACTTTTACAAAAACTGGTTTATCCTTCCTTCCTTCCTTCCTTCCTTCCTTCCTTCATTCATTCATTTATTCATTCATTCATTTTCCATATGTGCTTGCCCTATATAGGGTCACTAGAAACTGAATTGCTGTGCTTATTATTTCATTATAGGTAACTTTCCCCGTTATATTGCCCGTTTTTTAGAAAAGAGTTGGGCTTTTCCTGGAGTTTCCTGGAGATCCTATTAGCTAAGCTAGAGCCACTTACAGTATGTTACTTGCTCAGTTTAATTGATGATCGCTCCGATGTCTCTTCTGCGTACAGGATTTGCTTTAGTCATGGTGTTAATGCTGTTGGACTTTAATATGAAGCTGATTCCAGCCTGGATGCTCTTTCACTAAAACAATAACCTTATAAAAATGCTTCACAGAAGGTAGCCTGAATGTTTTTGCTGCTCTTTGTCTCTCTCTGGTGAGCTCTTTCAGCACTTTGGCTAGATTCATTTTTTGTGCTTCACTTGATTTTTAGGGAGTTATTTATGGAATGAGGAGTGAGCCAAGAGAAATGCCATCAGGAAGAATAATAAAGTGCAAAACAATTTATGTCTGTTATTGTTTTCAGAAAGATGAAACTCGAGGGAACAGAAAAAAATAATAAAGTGTAATATGACTGAAGGTGGAACAAATGCTCTGTATTAAACACCTGACTTGTTTTACTGTTGGGCTCCTGTAGAATGGAGAAGGTGTCCTGTGCCATTAATTCTGTGGAAAAATGCTTTTCTATTCAGTATGTTAAAAATCTGTATCCTTAAAAAAGGTTTGATTTGGCTTGCTTTCCATTTGTTTTAGGATATGACTTATTTGTGGTATTCATAAATATGTGGAATATCTATACACAGAATGTTTCTGTTTATTTTATTTTAAAATTAATATCTACAGTATTTATTCTGCAGTTTTAAAAAATGATAAGAATTAGATTTTATCTGCTTATTTCCAGGTTAAAATGCTATTTATTTCCATACTGGAAGGTGCAGTATTTTCACTTGCATCACTGCGCTTACCTGTGTGTTCTGTATTTGTGCCCATTTTGCACTGGTGAATATGTGGAATTTCATGACACGTTTCCTCACTCTCATTGTTATCTTTCATTATGTTGCTCCGCTAGTGGCTGATTGGAGACCGGGAGTCCCACTGTGGCGTCTGCACACGGACGCAGGGCAGGCCGGTATGTGGTTCAGATGGCCGCAGTTATGAAACCAGCTGCGATCTACAGAAAGCAAAGTGCAAGGACCGGTCTTTAGCTATAGCCCACCGTGGTCGGTGCAAAGGTGAGACGCTCCTTAATATAAACTTTCGTAAGACGACTTAAACACCTGCGGATCATTTATCTATCTCATTTCAGTTTACTTGAAGCAACAGACAGAAACACGCGCAAAGTGTGAAAAGTAATGGATGCTGTTTCAGGTAAAAACTGGGCAAGAACTGACCAGCCCCTTCCCGGCTTTGGACCAACATCCTCTTCAGAGAGCAAGGACACTGAAATCAGAGGTGTGTGTCTTTAAAACAACATTTTTAACCTGCATATCAAGTTGTCTGTTGCTTCATGGTTGAATACCTGGAAGGGAAATGCCTCAGGCATACCTGAGTGGGAAAAAACAGACGGGCAGCAGGCACGTCTCGCCTCATTGGACGCATGTAAATATCAACAGCCGCAAGATCGTGTTATCAGTTGATGCCATCTTCTTGATTATTTGCTTGGTTGTTGTGAGGGTTAGGGTTAGACTTTATTAGGTGCAGAGAAGTGGAACATGGCCGCTTCTGCATTTACAGTACTTTCTAATTATCGATCAGCAAACTTGAACGTCTTGCCGCCTTTTTTACGTTATATTATTCGGAACTAGTCTGGAAAATCAGCCCAAAAACACTGCTGAATGGGGAACAGTGAATGTGTAGCATTTCAGCATATGAGTTGATGTGTATCGCAGTGAGTAATGTTATGTGTTTGCATTTACATTGCATTAAAGTTCTCAGCCAGGCAAATAGCACATCGCAAATGCTCATGCTGTCAAGGAGACAACTGGGGATAAGTTCAGCTAGGCTGAGCCTCTACGTGAATGCCCAGGTACAAGAGTGCTCTTAGTCGACATGTTGAATGCAGAAGAAACAATATACAAGGCATTGAGTCCTGTTGCATATGGGGCTACATAGCTGTAGGTCAGTCACAATGCCCATGTTGACCCCCATCAACCGTCGAAAGTGCAAGCAGAGGAAATGGTCATCTGGTCCGACCGATTTTCATTTTCTGCTGCATTTGTGCCACAGTAGCTCTCCTGTTGATTTGTGCTGGATGGGATAGCCTTCCTTCACAGTCCACAATGACAAGTTCTGGTGGCGATTCATAGGTTTACCCTTCTTGGACCGCTCTCACCACGGCTGACCGTGAGCACCCCACAAGCCTGGCCATTTTGGAGATGCTCTGACCCAGTCGTCTGGCCATAATGATTTGGCCTTTATCAAAGTCACTCAGATCTGTATCCCTGCCCATTCTACATTCCGGATTGTGTTCTATCAAATCAACCAGATTTTGCTCTATCTACTATTCTATCAATAGTCATGACTTAAAACAATATTCCTCTAGTTTTAAATGTATATTAATAATGGGATTCCGTTTCTTTTAATCCATTCTTGTATTTAGAAGGTCACACAATATATTACTTGAAGAAACAAAATAAGCATGGAGTTTCTCACTATCAAGACCAGGACCTCGATTCCAAATCCAGGCCTTGTTTTCAGTTCTCCCAGGTAGTTAGTTTAATAATTACTGATTCTGATTGGTCAGAGGCTTCACACCTGACTGACAGGTAAAGGAAGGCTGGAAAACCAGCAGTGCTCGGACCTCGAGGACCGTGATTCGAACTACACAAAGAAGGAGATATGTTGTCACTTTCTATTCATAATGTCATTTCTATGACATTATGAACCCATGTATGTGGGGGGAGGTAGGAGTGCATGACGAGTTAGTATAGCTGTGTTTGTCTTACAGATATTGGCCAGTTAAGGTGCAAAGCAGAGAGGAATCAAGCACTGGATCACCCTAAGGAATTCATCCCAGAATGCAATGAAGATGGATCTTTTGCCCAGGTCAGATCTTTCTTTCTGGTTCTTTTCAATATATTGCCAATGACATTCAACTGTCCATGTACTATGTAAAAAGATCTATATACTCAATGACATTAATATTTTAGTATATCTGGAAAAAGCATAGTTTGATTGGAAACAATTTTATGCTTACATAATATTATTTGAATCATCGATCAGTCACAAAACAAGCATGTAATTGAAATATATAACTGTAACTTGAACATGCTGATTTGTCATTTATTCAAACTTAAATTCAGTTAAAAAATAAATTTTACATTAATTTTCAAAACCCTTTATGACTCAGTTGAAGTTTTATGCCTTTTAGTTTGCATGTAGGTTATGTTTGTCACATTGATAGAAGGAATTACATGTGTGGAAGAGAATAAGCACACAAGCATATAGTCCTCATACTGAGATCTGATATAAATACATAAAACAAATACATTAACCAGCTGAGGTATGGGCCTGACCCTTCAATGCATGGTGATTATGTAGGACAATCTTTAAGTCTATGCTGAACTGATAGTCAGTGAAGAACAATGGGAACAGATGCAACATGGTCGTATTTTTAAATCTGTTTCTGTGCCTTGAGCAGGATAAAAGCCAGAATATTTTTAGCACATGGCTATCCAAACGTATATGTGATTTAGAGCCAACAATTTTTCAGGAATTTTTGAAAGAAAGAAATTTGGACTGCAAGATTTTTCTGCACTTGTTGAGTGCAAGTTGAAAAGGCTTGATATGGGAATGTGTTGCTTTATTTTTAGGATGGGTCTTGTAGGTAATGCCAGGGATCATGAAATCATTTTTTTTTGGTGGGGGGGGAATCTGATGGATAGGTGGTAGGTGTGGCCAGAAAAGAAAAGCACTAGGTAAACATCAACACTATATGGTGTTATCAGAAAATACCACTTGCACACAAAACAGCTATCCAAGTTAACGATAGTCAGATTCATGAAGAAATTGTTCTTTAGAACCGTTTCTTTTTAGTGAATCAGTCGAACCTGTTTTCAAATCTAAAAGAATTTAACTTTTTGTAGGTACATCCACACATTGCACAGATCAAAGTCTTAGATTCTAAAAGTCTAAAAATATTTGGCAAATTATCATATAAATACACAGCCGTGTGTTTTTATTTCACTTACATTTGCTTTTTGTAGACTGTCTGTCGCCCTGTTGCCTTCAGTGCCCCTCCGCATCGGTTGTATTTGTGTTGTGTGCGAGCTCGTCTGCATGGTAGCTGTGGCTTACTAGTTCCAACTAATGATGGCCAAAACGATGCTTCATGAACCATTTGCTATATTTTCTGACCCCACTAGATGGGGCTGTCTGTTCAGAAAAAGAGCTCAAAGCATGCACCAATGCAAACCAACAGCACCATCTAGTGGGGTGAAAAAATACAGCAAATGGTTCATGAAGTAGATATAATTCAGGTTTTGACCATCACTAGTTCGGCACGTTCGCTTGAGACTAGGCAATATTCGTGAGACTCATAAGACCCATAGGAGATGTTTATGAGATAATTTATTATATATTATGTATTATTATTATTTCTTAATTAAAATACATATAATTACATTATTGGCCACTGGCATCACTGATTTTATTATTTAATTCATTTTCTTTGGCGTAAGTTACTAATTTTGGAGTTGTATTCCCCTAACCCTGTTTTCCCCATTGGATATGTGTATTTTTGTATGCGATTTTAGTGAACGTGAGTTTTTTCAGGAAGCATTAGTTGTGTTGTATTAGGACTGACTGTGATTGTATTCACTAAAACATTCCTTGCACTGACTTGCACTTCTGCATTTTTTATACATTTATCAACCACACATCCACATTGTGTATAAGCTAAACATTATATGTGACCGTTATCTTGTCTTAACTGTGTATGTATGAGAGCTACTGACAACTGGAGACAAATTCCCCATGTGTGTGGACATACTTGGCCAATGAACCTGATTCTGATTACAATAAACACTAAAAAGAACTGTAGTACAATTTTAGTCCATGGGAACAGGAAGACAGCAGTTCAGTGGTTTTTCATTAATGCTCAGTTTTGTGACACTGCAATATAATAACGTTTGATCATTAAATCACATTAGGTGATCCATATATTCTGGTAAATGTGTGTACCTTGAAAGACATTTAATTGATTTATCTCCTTTTTTGTTTTATCTGTATGTGTTCATTAAAGATCACCATGTCCCAAGTTACGTTGTTTTCTTGTAACAAAGTAAAGCCATTTGGTAAGGCTATAATTATACGTATCTTTGGCTTTAAGTCAAGTCTTTATCTTTGTCCAGAACACTTTTGTGTCCTAATGAATGGTGTCAGCAGTGAGATTTCACAGTAATCTTCTGGGCTTTGTGAGCTTTTGCTTTTAATTGTGTAATGGAAAAGAAATTACTAACACAAGAGGCCCTTGTGTAACATTTGAATTTTAGACACTGTAGTGCCATAAGTGAACTAGAGAAGGTTTGCAGCTTCGAATGTACGATTGCAGAGCAGGAGCCTGGGATTGTAGAGCATCAGCAAGGGATAAAACACAAAGAGAAAAATGTTAGCATTTTATTAACAAGCATTAGCAAGTTTAAACATGCCTATATTCAATTAATTTAGCAGAAATTGATGTGAAACAGGGTGGAGTAGTTTCGCAGTGGTTAAAACCACTTCCACCTTGCTCTGTTCATGTGGAGTTTGCATGTTCTATCTGCGTGTGTAAAGGTTTCCAGCTGCAGTTCGGTGAATTTGTGTCTCCGAACTTCCCATTAGTATGCGTCCTCCACAATGGACGGACGTCCCACCCCATCCAGGGGGCCCTGGGACAGGCGTGACCCTGTCCTGGGTATGTTATTGGATGAGATGGATGGATGACAAGTATGACTTTTTAAATCTGTACTATTTTGATTACTATATACTATTATATCAGTGCAAGAGAACTGGCCTCGATTGTGAAGGTTTTCCTTTTTCATGGCCTTTCATTTCCAGTTCTGTGAAAATGAGTAACCGATTATTTGCACTGGTCTGACGTGCAGGGAGACTAAGGGACTGTGAGGGAGGGAGAAAGATACTGGTTATATTGGGTGCTGTTTTATGTTTTTAGTTTCTTCAAAGGTAGAACCATTTGGTTTCATGTGTGATTTCTGGTCTTTGTCTTTTTCACTTCATGTCACCAAATGTCCATTTCAACATAGTTTAAGGTTAAAGGGTCTGGTTAGATGTATTGTGCCGTCATGCTGCTTCTGCACTATACATGCATTCCCATCCTATTGTAATTAGTAAACTAACCAATAAATAAATACATCATTAGGCAATTATTATGAATACACTGAGTGAAACGTTTACAGATTAAGCAGTGTGGATAAAAACTATTAATTGTTCTAAAAGTAAAAATGTTTTCTGGCAAGGCTACTCCGGCAGTTTTTGTAAGATGAGATTCTTTCTTGGTGTTTGAAAACAGTTCATTTATTCCTGACATACCTGTGATGCATTTGACAGAGAGCAATATATCACATTTCAGAATGAGGGCGCGCGTTTCCATTTGGAAAATACCCTCCAGTTTGGGTGCCAAGACACACTGCAGCCACTGCACACCTGTCCCCCTTTTGCCTTTACTCCAGGTGCAGTGTCACACTTTGACAGGGTACTGCTGGTGCGTCACCCCGGATGGCAAACCAGTGAGTGGTTCATCGGTACATAACAGGACCCCAGTATGTTCAGGTACTGCTTATAGAACAATCGCTGCTATCGAGACTTTAGCTACATGTATGTGTACTGACTACACGTATGCACTGTACATGAAATTCTTTCCTGGTTAATAACAAGTAGGTTATATCAAGACTGAATCCTACCTGTATCTCTATCACTTTGGCCTCCTGAGCTGTCTGCCTTTTCGTTTGCATGCTGCATTGTACTGCACTGGGTCCGTAATGCTACTCACAATGGCCGGGAATGCTTCATGACAATGTGTGTATTTTTCCTCTTTTTTAAATCCATACTGAGGATTACACACCCTGTGGTGCCAAGCTGGGTACGCTCACATCATTATTTGACCCGGCATTCATTTAAAAATGGCCTTTTTTGGGGGTGTTTTAATCAGGAAGTTACCCAAGTGGTTCCTGTTCAAAATCAAACTAATGCTTAGCAATTTTCCCTGACCTGGATTCTATCGACAACTGTAGACATTCAGGCAATCCCTAATTATAATCTTACAATAATCATGCAAAACATGCAAGATTTAAATTTAGCCACAGTTCAGATGATTAAATGGATATTTAGACATTTTAACCAAACCAAATTTTTTTTTTGTTTACTATAATAGCCAACTCGGTATATTACTACCTGCTCCAATACTGTCCTGCATAAGATCCGATATTTTCATTTTGGTTCCTTGCAAAAGCCAATGTTTTTGGGTGGTCTGCACAATTTCATTTATAACCTGAGAATATATAAATGGCTGTAATTGCTGCATAGAGTCATGTATAAATTTAGTGTTATAAATAATAGAGGAGTTTTATACCACAAGTACTGAACTGAGAACCGGGCATAGAGAGGCACCCTTTAACTGATACTAGACAGAAAGATCAGTCATTCCAAGATCCTCCTTTGCTCGCTTGGTGAAATGGGCCCTGTTTGAATGACAAGAATTATTCACCATGCAAACATTTGCAGGAAACTTCCGTGAATTTATGGGCACTCATGCTGGGACAAGTGGATTGTCAGGTAGTAAATTTCATGATCGCCTTCAGATTTTTCCTGCCTTCCCAATTTTGAGTGTCTAATTTTTCAAGCTTAGGGAATCCATGCATGCAAGTTTATACAGAGATCTTGGTGAATACACATTGTTTACATTACTAAATGCAAACAAAATACAGGTGTGTTGGAATCAGTACAGCATTAAGTTAATACATCATATGCTAAAACGTTAGGGCCCTATGAATGATTTTTGAATGAGATTGATGGTTATGTTGAAAAATCAGTGTAAGTTTTTATTATTAAGATTTGGGACAATGAAAAAATTTATTGCTGAATTTTTAAAACAATCAAAACAGATTTGTGGTGATGTTGGATCTAGATCTGCATATCAGGTTTTTGTAGTAAAAGATCATAAACATGGTTATAATGTGTTATGCCTTTTTATAAATATTTATAGCCATGTTTATAATACTTCGTGAATGCATTAAAATGTATTATGAAGGTGTCTATAATGCATTATACATAGGTGCTTTAAGTAAAGTGTTACCCAATATTGTAATAAAGTTGTAGTTAACTTATTAAGTTTAATTTTCCTTTAAACTTTTTGTGCCTGCCAGATATTCCATTTTTTACTGTATGGGTAAGTCTCAGGCAATTTTACAGACTACACTGAAGAATTTTGAGGTCTTGAGTACAACTACTTTTGTTACAATTATGCCGTTGTTCATGCAAGATAAATTAGTTTTTTGTCTTTTCAGAAATACACAAAACAAGTTGTCTCTAACCTATGGCTGCTGTTTATTCCTCAGGATTCTGCACTAGCACGCTTAACAAATTCAAGGTACTGTACTTTTATTTTTAAAGGTTCAGCAACGGATAAGACACCAGGGCCACCTAGTTCCGGAAGGAAAGGTGAGTTTGGAATAGTTATTGCGTGACTATTTCTTGCATGAAGGGTTAGCATAGACTCACACTTCTTCCTGCAAAGGAGAGTTTCCCACTTTTTCTATTTCAGTCTCACTTCTTTGAAAAATTGATCTCATTATCACATATGAAACATTAGATTCAACAAATTTCTTATCTCTTACCCATAAGAAAAGTGTATTTATGATGTGAGAAGCACAGGTATAGCATTCCATTTTAGTGCCATTGCAGTATTTTTACTGTTTCAGTCTTAATATTTTAATGACATGTAGTAATTAATGTATGTGTTATACACGAGTGGCCAAAATTGTGGAAACACCTAGCATTTTTGGTATTAAACTTTAAAAATGACTACACAAATACTGGCAGTAATGTTTATAATCAAAGTATGTTACAAATATCATACACTGGCTAATTAAATAAGTAACTGGGGCAACAGTTGAATAAAGTTTTGCAATCTCTAAAAATTTTGGACACTAGTGTATACAATATACATTATGCTGTATTTTAAAAATTTATCTTGATAGCATTGTTTAAAAAAATGGCTTGCTATATTATAAATGTTATAAGACAAACCGAGTATTTACTATTACATCTGCTTTGCCAGTATGTTCTGTGGAATGGAATTGACAATGATGACATTTTGCTAACCCTTTCAGTGTCTGTGGTGATCGTTCTTCCAGTTTTTTTTCAGCAAATGACTATGGAAAGCATGCAACACCCCCTAGTTTTAAAAATGAGTTGTGAAAATAATTAAATAATATCATAACGTACCTATGTGCCTAACGAGAGCATTAAATCCTACAGGCTAAAGTATGGTGACCGCTCTCCTGGAATTATTACATATGCCGGCTGCTATTCTAGCTGTGATCATATTTAATTGAACTGTTATCTCATCTTGTGTTAACACAGTTAGCTATGATTGCAGTCACTTCCCAACTGTGCCACGTTGAATTTGTGTTAGTGGATGAATACCAGCAAGGGAAAAAAGTAAACATATTATTTCCCCAGAATTGTTTTTGTTTCTAGAATGAATAAAGTAGTTAATTTGATGTTAAAACTGAACAAGAGGAAACAAATTCTATTTTATTATCATTATTATTATTTAGCAAGAATACTCACAAACAATATTTTGTTCATGAAGTCAATATTTAATATTTTGCAATTAATGTATAATATATAATAAATTACATATTACTTATTCATGTAAACGAATAACCAGCATACATAGTCTCTGTAATTATATATAATCATATGATCACACACACACACACACACACACACACGCTGATGAGCAAAAACTTTATGAGCATTCTCACGTGAAGCGAATAATGTTGACTCGTATAAACAGTGCGTGTCAAGGTCTGAGATATGTTAGACAGTAAGCTAACATTCGGTATGTTGACATGCTGAATGCAGGAGAAATGGGCAGGGATACAGATCTGAGTGACTTTGATAAAGGCCAAATCATTATGGCCAGACGACTGGGTCAGAGCATCTCCAATACGGCCCGGCTTGTGGGCTGCTCACGGTCAGCCGTGGTGAGAGCGGTCCGAGAAGGGAAAACCCATGAATCGCCACCAGGACTCATCAGTGTGGGCTTTAAAGGAACGCTGTCCCGTCTGGCACAAATCAACGGAAGGGCTACTGTGGCACAAATGGCAGATGATTTCGACGATGATCACGAGAGCAATGTGTCGTGACACACAGGGAATCTATTGATCCCTGCTGTGTAAATTTATATACAGGCACATACAGGCTGCTGAGTTATTTTAAATGTAATCTGATTTTCTAAAAAGCAGTGGATATTACAATAGCCTGAGTATCATTTATTGGTTTGCGGCTGCTGCCTTTTTAGGCTGACATAATGTGACATTTCTGAGCATAGTTTGTTTAATTTTGTAAAGCTCTGTAACTGTAACCCTTTACTGGATACGTGGAACATGGATGGATGTAATGTACGGCTTCATAATACACACAGCACCCAGCACAGGGCAAATTGTTTCAGTACACAGGCAAATCCGACTTCATGACACTGATAAGATGTTTCCATATAATTAACAATTCAAATCAAGGAGTGGCCTGATATCTTGTTATCCTTAATAAAACCCTAGATAAAATGTCAACATTTTGGTAGATAAAATGTCAACATTTTGGTAGATAAAATGTCATCATTTTGTATTATTATAATTGTTGTTAGTTTTTATTATTATACATTCAGACCTTATTGGAATACTCAAAAAGGATGTAAAATTATTAACTTTTGAAAAACATGGAAAGCCCCATTTAACAGGCACCTGAAAATAGGTAAAATTTTTATGTGCATTATTTAATTTATATCTACTTAGTTAGGTTGACCAGAACCTGTGGAACTGAATCTTCTCGCTTCTTCAGACATTGAGTTGTACCCTAATGAGTCTGCAGAGAAGGCAGGAACCTCAGTATCGATAAGCCAGCAAGTCATTCCAGAGGCGATGTCACTCGCTGGCAGTCATTTGACAAACAGGCTCTGTCTCACTGTAGCTGTACGTCTGGTCTTGGTGAAGGATTTTCTTCCCCTCTGTACAGTAAGATGATGTAAGACTGGGTAGGAAATTTCTAGTTTTCTCTGTCTCAGAAAGGCATCTGTGTAGGCGGGTTGCCAGATTGGGGAGACGTCCTTTGGACGCCGTTGTAGTGAAGATCGAATCAGCAGTGTTATATGGACAGACTTCTCACGGGAAGCTACATAAATTTGCTATTAGTTTTATACTTATTTTACATTAGTTTTGTAATTATATAATTTATTACGTGTATAATTCAACCATTTAAAGCCGTTTTGGAATTTTTTTTTATTATGATGTATTATATACTTAGCTTTTGCGTAACTTTGGACAAACGTATGTACTAAATAAATAAATGTAAGGATGTATTGTGACCACAAAATTACTGTCATCTAATTGTATGTTAGTGGAAAGTTCAGGTCCAGAACATACAAATCCAGACCAGAATTTTGATTCAATCAACCAGTTGAGTACTCTGTGAATGTGACTCTTTACGCTCAACCGGTAGGCTGAAACAAAATCTTGGTCTGGATTTGTACTTCTTGAACCTGAACTTTTCACCTCTGGTTAGTTGATTTGTATCACCAGTCAGCTGGCTTTTCCGGTAGTTTGGCCAACCCCAACCCTTACCAGGCCTTCCCATGGGGTGTATGTGCTTGGCACTGGTCTGTGGCAGAAGCAATACAGGACAGGTTGTAGTATTCCACGCATAGGTAAGTAGGTCATATTCTCCTGCTAAGTACTGTAATCCTCTGCATCACTGTTTCCCAGTCGGGTCCTTGGGTCCCCACATACAGTCTACATTTTACCAGGAGCTGGGAGGGAGCAAAAACGTAGACTGTCTGTGGGCCCCCACAGACCAGGTTGGGAAATGCCGCTTTAAATATATAATACATAGAAATACAAGAAAAAAAGGAAGGGTAGACGTTTGCTTTTCAGTTACTCTATAAAATGTTCATATTGAAATTCTATTTTGATTGAACAATTACAAAGGGCACCATCGGGGGTGCAGGTTACAGGAATTCCAAACACAACATCATTAAATGCATTATGATGAATTGTTAGGTTAGTAATGTGGAACCATGATATGAATTATTTCAGGTCAGCATGTTCATATTTATTTTAAGTTTTTTTTTTTTATGGGAGAGACCATATTGTTTTACGCTCAACCACTATGTACTGAATTTTGGAGCAGGTGTTACAACTCAGGCATCGGTATTTATACGGGTCATATATTATATGGGTGGAAGGGGGGTAATGCGGGTGTTTATCTATGTTTGTGGGTAGGGGGGAAGTAGGGGAGGATTATAGTGGCTCTGGAATTAGGGTTTCTTTTACACCAATCTCTCTCTTCACCTTTTCACTATCTAAACACCTCTTCCTCTTCCTCGGTCTGTTTTTCTCTGTGCTCCTGTCTGGGTCTTGTGTAATCCCCAACCATTCAACAGTTCTGGAGAGTAGATTGTATTAACCTCAA